TGAGAGAACAAGATATTATGACCGCTAAACCCCACTTATATATATATATATATATATATATATATATATATATTAGTAGTTTTGTTTCATGGTTTGATAGTATAAAAATTACTTTTTATTCATAAACTACGGCAAAGACGCGGTTGTTTAGACATAAAATATTGGTACAAAGTTGTTTTTATGCACTTAGTCTTGCATTAAAAAAATAATCATATACTATATACTTAAAAAAAATCAACATTATAAATTAATAATAATAATGATAATAATAATAATCTTAAGGTTCAAGTAATAAGATTACGCATTAAGCTGATATCCCAAATGTTTAAATCCAAACATGTAACAAGTAACGATTGAATATTACAAGAATGTCTCTGCCGAAAACGTGTAACAGGTCAATTTTATGAATGAAGAGTTTTAATTACATAAACCATTATCGATAATGTTAAATTTTAAATATTTTTTTTTTCTTATCTAATCATTACTAAATTGCCACTTGACCCTATTAGCAGCTGTTAAGGCATAAACTTTGGCTTTGAGTGTGAAATCCATGTACTTATGACACATTGGCATCATTATTGTTGGATCTCTATTATTCGAGTTTCCCTCAAGAAACATAGAAGAAGCATTACGTGGTGACCAAACAAAACATGTCTATTCATTCATATGTCCTGTCTCACCTGCACTGTGTTCTTAGCTTCTCTGTTTGGACTATCCCAAAAAACTATTCATGACAAAATACAATTACATGTTTACTAGACACATTCAAGTAGATTAATAGGTTTTTTTTTACACCATTTACCGTTTATTAGACAGAATTTTATTTAAATCAGATAAGATTATTTTTTTGATCCAGCTACATATTTAATATTAAATTCAAGACACTTATCTAAGTTAATTAGAATAATTTCATGTAGGTTGATTCACTCTCTCAATGATAGATTAATAACGTGTGTTTTTCTCTTGTAAATTGTAATGAATTTTCCTAGTTTAATGGGTTAGAAATTAATCTTGTTCACAATATTGTGATCGTGATTCAAGATATTTTCATACATGATGGGATCGAACATAGTTATTCAACAACATATGAACTAAATTGTCTAGTTACAGTATCAACTCATTCAGTTGATGAAATATTATGTTTATAAACACGTTTAAAAAGAAGAAATAATTATTAAAATATTAAAGTTAATAATAACTTATAAGTTTCTAAAAATTACGTCTAAAACGTAGAAACAACTATATTATAAGGATTTTTTTTTACTTTCCAAAAACTTAAGTTGGCATTTAGTTTATTAATTAAAAAATAATAATATTTTTAGAAAATATTACATATATATAAATATTTTTAGAAATATTTTTTATTAACTAAACATATTTTAATCATTCTAAATTATCATAATTTTTAAAATTTATAATTCTCAAAAATCATAATTTTCGGCCATGAAAAAAAAACTTCTCCTATCAAATCTCTACTTTACTCATATTGTTGGGATACAAACAAGTCTAACATCGATAAAATAAGAGAAAAAATTATAACTTATAAAGTACACACATATTTCAATGCATGATAGATCTTTTGAGTGATGATAAAAAATAAAATCGTAATGGTTTAAGCCTGAAAAAAAATCTGTCTAAGAAAATACTGGTCAAGAGTGATTTGTATTTGTAAAAAGAAAGAAAATAATGTTACATGTAACATTATATCTCCGGTGATTGTGGGCAGGGAACTGACGAGGGAATTATTTCATAAGGGCTTTTGAATTCCAAATATATTCTTCCTTAAATTCTACCTCGGCTAGACAAACTTTTATAACAATGATGCCACACTAAGGTTATGACTTATAGACTGACTTTTCCTTGATCATATCATTTGTCATTTTCAAAGTAGTTTTCTATTGAATAAAGGTAAAAAAAATTATAACTTCATTTATATCTTTGAAGAAACTATTGATCTCATGCCTAAACCATAGGAAGAGGAAGAAAGGGTGATATTGTTGTTAAAATAGACTTATAACAATGTTGAATGGATATTTGTGATAAATATTTTGAGGGAGTTTGGATTTTTAACAATGGTTAAATATTTTCTATTCTTAAAAATGGTTTTTTTTTAATTTTATAAACATTTTTCCTTTTATATTTAACAAAAATAATGTCACCAAAAATTAAAAGCACGTTATTTTTATACTATTTAGGGGTTAAAATAATATTTTTATATAAATTAAAACAAAAAATGTATTTTTAAAAACTAAAATATATTTGAATGTTTTTTTACCGTTACCAATTAATCTTGTAATAGTCCGAAACAAAATAAATAATTTT